CTATACAAAAGTTTCGTTTCTGTGATCAAGAATATCCTTCATAAGAATGTAATCCTTGAGAGCTCTTGGAACTGGGAGTTCTTCTACCTTCTCCCAAAGGTTGTGTCCAGCATGACGTCGAATAACTTTGCGACACAATTGCTGCAAGGGCACCACGCGTTTCAGGGCAGTCCTCAGCCACAGCAAGACTTCGTCCTGCTCCCCGGGACGCGCTTGGACGTACCCAGCGTAGAAATACATTCTAGCGGAGTAATCCACATGTCCCACTGTTGCAAGCAGGCGGCACAGTTTGTAATGACCTCTTTCCGCAGCCAGTTTGAACACAGATTTGTAGATTCCGTTAGGGAAGTACTTGACAGGGGCATCAAGGTCGATATTATAGATTAGGAGAAGCCAGGCTACATCCATTTTGTTGCCAGCCACAGCATCGTGGATTGCTGTCTCTCCCTGATGGTTGTACACATCATGGCGACTGCCAGCTGCAAGGAGCAGCTCCACAACACGTGTGTAGTTTCTTTTAATTGCAATGTGCAATGCCGTGTCGCCTGTTTTAAACTCCCTTCGGTTCACGTCACAACTAGCACTCAGCAGCAACTGAACAACCTCTTTGTGGTTGTAACATACTGCTTCCATCAGTGGGCTTCTGCCCCAGTAGTTCTGAACATTAATAAGACTGCCAGCTGATAGTAAAATATCTATAATATCAACACAGCCGTTCCTTGCTGCATAATGCAGAGCCATGTCACAGTTTCTGTCAGTAATGTTCAGATCTGCACTGGCTCTTAGCAAACGTAGAACAGCGTCCGTTTTATTGTTTCTCACGGCTTTCATTAGAGGTGTTTTGGATGTAATATCTTGGCTATTTACATTAACGCCTCGACGAATCAAGACATCAAGGATTTGACAGTAACCGTCGTCTGCAGCGTAATGACAAGGCGAATTTCCAAATGTGTCTTTGGCGTCCAGTTTGGCCCCTGCTGCTATTAGAAGCAGCATACATGCCATTTTGTGACTCTGAACGGCGAAATGCAAGGCTGTTCTTCGAAGGGTCCCCGTTGTGTGGTTGACATCGCACTTTGCTTCAATTAAGTACTGTAGCATGTAGGTGTGGCCTCTGTACGAGGCCAGATGTATAGGGCACAAACCAGCATCGTTCTTGCGCCTTACCTCTATGAATTTCCCATTGAGATCAAGTTTGTGCTGTGCTACAAGACGTTTCAGTTGCTGCAAATCGTTATTAAGGACCGCGTCGTAGAACTCCAGGCCCGCCATTTGTGTACGTAACAACATGGAGACGGATGTTAACTCGCCCTCGTCCGGGGCGCACACACACTCACTTGTAATTTTACTTCGCTCCACTTCGAATATAAGAACGATAGAATCCTGGTTATATTCACATCATTCACAAAACCTAATCCGGAGATTCAGATATGAACAAATAACGACTGAAAACTGACACACCAGCATCCATTCTGAGGAATACAACAGGTAGGAGAAAAATAAGTCAACAGCGTCCTCTATGCTTAAGCTCTACAGCTTGGCACGATGACGCTAGTACACGGCCAGCCATGTTCGCAGCACGCTAAGAATCTTGGCTTGGTAATGTGCAACAATAAGTGAGCATTTTTTATGATAATGTCGTGCAATGAAACGCGCGTGAACTGTGAGCATAGTGTAGAGGCGGGTTTCTTCGGCCGACGTTAGGAGTGAGTGGATCGATGACTGCGGTAGCTCACCCTTTTCTAGAAACTGAATGGAGACGAAAATAGCGACATGCCTCACTCCACAGTCACGATTTTATTCTCTTACCGAAGACACAAAAAAAATGGCGTAAGAGTATTTACTGTTTATTTTTAAATACTAAACAGTAATGTTCCTGAATAAATTGCTTCCCGCGTCAAAAAACTTAGCTGTTCGTTTCAGTGTGCTGAAAATCTGATTAACTAAGGCAAGAAAGAAAACAAAACAAATTAAAATACGCTTTCAAAGTGGAACAAGTAAAAGAATATTTAACTGTAATTTATTCATTTGAAAAGTTGATAACAGACGTCAGTGAAGAATGGAAACTATATCTGGCGACCAGCGAGCTATTTTTGATCCACTGCTCTATTTTTCACTTTCGTTTAGTATTATGTAATGATGCACTCTGAAGCCATTCGCTTTCAGCTTAAATACACTTGACAAAAGGGGATGTGGTCTCTATGGTCAATTTGTACGTGAAATAATTTCCATATATGTGAAATAAATGCAATACAGTGCATACCTGATAAGGAGAACTGACAGGAGACCTAAGAAATGGTTTTTCTTATCATAAATACTTCTAATCCAGATACAAGTTCAAGCAAGAAAAATTGCCCAGGATGAATAATTTGTTCTTCACAACAGAAAATCTCTACATCTGAGATCGCCTTAAGCAGTCTGCGCTGTATAATAGAAATAACAAATTAGTTGCGTTTCCTTTATAGGACGTTGCCGAACTATAATATATTTAATATTGTGTGTGGGGAAGGCAGGAAACTTTCTGCGCCGGGTACCAACTGACCTTTCTACACCCCCAGGTCGATCAAGTCTAAAGACAGAGGTAAGAAACTATTCTTAAGAAGTAAAGGCTGTCGGGGTTATAGTGGCTATATTATCTATCTAGTTTCGATTGGTGTATACAATTGTGAGGTTCGCCAGCTCTTCCCCCTCGTGCACTTTCCAACTCAAGGTGTCGCTTATATCCTGTGCACATCCCTGTACTGGCTGGCCCCTGCCCCTCATTCCTTTACCATGCCTTCTGCCACTATTCTTCCCAGTCCGTCGTGGCGTTCTAACCTCCTCCTTCTTCTTCTTCTTCAGCATTCCGAGCCCTTGAGGTTCATTGCTGCAGATATCATCCGCCTCCATTCATCTCTCTGGTTGGCCTTCTCTTTCCAGTTGGTGACACCAAGTGTTTGCAGGTCTGTCTGGACATTATCTCTCCATCGTCTTCTTGGTCTGCCTAGTGGTCTACGACCATTCATCTTCCTTGTAAATATAGTTTTTACTTTTCTGTCATCTGACATTCTCTCAATATGCCCAGCCATTTCAGTCTATTAGCTCTCATGCTGCCAGTTATCAATGGTGAATTACACAGAAAATGAATTTCGTTGTTGCGTCACTCTGTCAATTCCCCGCAATTTGCATCTTTGATGGGTCCAAAGATTCCTCTCCAACCTCCATGTTACCAAAATATTTGAGTTTCCGATACAAGATGCTGTTAACTAATCAATCTTCCTGGATGTTCTGATCTTTTAGGAAATCGGTATTGCTTCTTGGTCTATTGTATTCAGCTCAAAAGTCCCTATTTTCTTCCTTAATAACAGTAAAAGAAGAGACAGTGTTAAGATTACCAGCTTTAGAGAGAAAGCTGAAATAAGACCATGTCTGGATTATACTGACAAAGAATAAAATGGTTCAGTCATCTGGTGAGAATGCAGCCTTTCCAAACTGCATATGAGAGGTTTTACAGCAGAACATCTGGGGAAAAGGCAAGAGGAAGACCAAAAAACAGATGAATATATGCCGAAACTTGCAAAAGATGAAAAAATCCATCACCCAAGAAGCACAGGACAAATACAGAAAACCACAACATGGCTAAAACCTGGTATCAGTGAGACGACAAAAGAAGAATAACTGTTCCTATGTCGCTGCAGAAGGTTTGAATACCGGATCAACATCATGGCACACGGGTAGTAACCCATAAGTGTTCTCCGTTCTTCCTCTAATTCAAGTCTGAGTCCAAAGAAGCTCAGCACAGTGCATAGGTTCTGTAGCACCGGTGAAGATCCTGAAATACTTTAGGTAGATTTTTAACTATAAATTTTTGCCTGGTCAGCGCCGTTAGGTTACTCTTTTCCATTTCCAACTGCCAAAGGATTTTTTTTTACTTGCGCAACAATGCACACCGACGTCCGATCTCACTACACAGAGACCGGGGGAATTACTAGAAGTCCAAGTTTCAGTGAAAAAAATCCCAGCCCTTAACGGGGATCGAACACGGAACCTCAGCACTCAAAGCGGACACCGTGCTTCGAGACCCCGCAGCCCCTTGTCGCTGCAGGAAAAAAGGCATACTCTCAAAATTTGGACTTTAATTTTGTTGGTGCTTAACCATAGATTTTTAATGGCGTACTGTGTCACTGTAAGTGATGCGAACGCTTCGTAATGCCGGGTTCGATCCCAGCTGCGGGCCATGCGCCTTGTGTTGGTTTCGACAGTGGTATCAAGAAAGCCGACCGTCCAGTGCAATGGCAAACTACTGGACGTAAATTTGCATAGAAAAGCCACACAACAGCCAGGGACTGTTGGGGTTGGTTCTGCAACGTCCTGTAAAGGATACGCAACTAACCTTAGACAGTGTCACTGTAGTTCCTTCTAAAAGTTGGTTGCTTATCCTTTACAGCAGTGTTTCCCAACCTGTCTACACCCACAGCCCAGTCAAACGGTAAATTGTTTCGCTGCCCAGTTGATAGTTAACAAAACGTGAAACAAGAACAAATGAAGATCATCAATTGCCTTGCCGACTGACGTAGGTGATCATGCATCTTTACAAACTACGAGTATCAGTTTGTGTGTTGCCCCCCTCCCACCTGACAAAAGACTCAAGAATATTTTCACGCTGTCTTCCTCCATCTTTTTCCACAGATCTTTCCAGTGGTCACATGTTCCCTCTTCTCAAAACATGACCAAAAGATGATGACTGTCTCTTTCTGATGTGTGTGATAAGTTGTCTTCATCTTTTCCCACAGATCCTTCCAGTGGTCACAACATGTTCCCTCTTCTCAAAACATGACCAAAAGATGATGACTGTCTCTTTCTGATGTGTGTGATAAGCTGTCTTTGAGCATTAGCCTCATTACAAACATCTGGGTTGCTCTTCTTCGCGGTCCAATGAATTCTCCAGATCACATCAACCATCTTGTGCCCATTGGTTTACAAAAATATAGGTCTAGCCCTATCCGCCTAAAGGCATGGAAAAAGAGATTTTTCCTTTTTTTTGGTTTGTTTTTTTACAGCCGTATGTTAAAACTGGCTCAATATAGTATGCGAGAATTCTTTTCCTACCCTCCAATGACATGGATTTATAAATAAATATAAACATAGTTTAAATCAAATGTCACAAAATTAAAACTTTCAGTTAACGCTGCTGCTTAGAAGTTTGAAGAAAAATAATCTTTGATATAGTAACTGGAGCGTTATTTCTGATAGATGATCGCTACAATAATATACATTTGATTTCTTTTTTCAACATACCTGAGAAAGTCTTTTTCACACATATAGTAAGCCCTTGAGATGTTAATCCTACAGACTGGATGAGAAATACCATCCACACTACCACGTAGCAGAATTTTTTTTTTGGGGGGGGGGGGGGGGGGCGTGCCAAACTGGACCAGGAGTCGAAGAATGTAAATGTTATCTCCTTGCAGACAAAGCTAATGGTTTACTGGGCATTTTACCAAGACTACTCTACGTGTACAAAACATGGGCAGTGTATCAGTGTCAAGTTGGAGAACAAGTTGAACTGGTTTCATGTAGCCTGTCTCAGAAAGGTGCTGACAATCAAATAGCAGAACATGATTCCAAACGATTTGGTTCTCAATAAGGCAAACCTACCAAGCATCCATACAATACTGAAGATCGACTGAGTTGGTCATGTAGGATGTCTGCTGCACCATCAGCTTCCAATGAGAATAGTTTACAGTGAACTCTAGCAGAGGAAAAGATTTCCAGTGTGTGCTACAAGATACGCTTTTGTGTCAATTTGTCAACAGAGGGACAATGATAAACATTCTGCAAGGTTTCATTGGCACAGGAATGGAGCCACCCCTTTGCTATGAAATTGAAACTGCGATTACCTAATAATTTTTTTTTGCTATTAAGACTGCAACATAGGAGGCAGTTGCATAATGCCCGCCTGATGGCGTACTCGTCTAGCATGATGCAGGAGAGGTTACACACAAGAAACGGAGGCAGAATCGAAAGAAAAATGTGCAAATCCCACCTCTGCTGTCACTTCCATCTGTTGTACACACTGCTCCAGAACTTTCCGTGTTCAGATTGGATTGATCAATCATCTTTGAACTCTTAACAATTCTCCATGTGGGTTCTGGGGTCCTATTGTGGGGGAAACAAGAATAGACCCACTGCCTCCCCGACAAGCAGGTCGTAGGAGAAGGAGGGGGGCTTCCTTCAGAGTTGGAGTGCATCTGCATGAGAAGCAAGGACCAACAATCTGCATACCAATAAGTCAGATCTGTAAAACTGAGGTACTGGAACAAGACTTAATACCCAGAGGTGGATGAACAACCAGAACTTTCTGCCAAGTTTACAGCTGATGAATGTAAAGAAGAAAAATGCAGCATCACTGATCATTACTACTTTTGGATGGTAAGTGTGTCACTTGTGATGAACCAACGAACACACTAGACGTTATAGGACCAACCCCAGAATTACTTGGCTTTTCGGTTTTTACTAATTTTACGTTCAGTAGTTTGCCACTGCTCTCTAAATGGTCAGGGTTCCATACTATTGTCAAATTCAATGTCAAGTAACCCAACGCCAAATCAAATGCAGCTGCAATCAAATTGGGTATTTCTGAATTATGAAGTGTGCTCGCATCATTTAAACCTCAGATGCTCAATGTCCCTCGTGGTAACCATGTATAACATTCTGGGACTTCAGAAGGAAGTTTTCTTTATAAACTGTAAGCATGTAAAATACCTCTTTTGGACTCTATGGAAAGTTTATAATAGTAATAATGTAAAATAACACTTCTGAATTGATGAAAAGTTTATTTACTATATAAATAAATATATAAAAACCAGCACAGGTTTAAAAACAAAGTATGTGTTTAAAATTAAAGTTAACCTGAAAAGCGTTAAAAGGTCGAGTGTTAGCTAGCAGCAGAAGCACTTGTCTGGCAGACTATTTATACAGCAGTTGTGTGTACCAGTCATGTACCAGAAGAACTTGTTTGGCAGACTATTTATACAGCAGTTGTGTGTAAAAGTCATGTACCAGAAGTAATTACCAAGCAATAATGTAAACATGTGAATGGCTGTGTAAACACTCCTACTGAACAAGAAAGACATTCTGAAGACCATTTATGAACTAACTCTGTGAAAGATATGATTTTAAATGAAACACCATGTTCAAGGTTGTGTGAATATGGAATTAAGTGTGGCTCCAGCCAAAAAAAAAAGACCTGTGTGTACAACCAGTGTGCTATTGTAAGGCCTGTTACTATTTTGCGTCATATTAACTTCAGCAAAGGCCCGTTACTATTTTGCTATTTTGTGTCATATTAACTTTAGCTAAGGCCTATTACTATCTTGGGTCATTTAAACTTTAACTAACTATCCACATGCATCCATTCCGTGTATTATCTTGTCAACAGCCTAGGAATATGGGGTTTTATAGGTGAGGTCATTTGGGTTTAATATGGGCTATCAGTTGCAATGTTCAAGAGTCATGCAATCAACCATCAAGTAATTTGCAGAGGATCAAGCATCTTTTATCAGTAGTGTATTGTCTAAGAGTTCAACAGTGTCGTCATCAAGAATGTCCAGGAAGTCTTCGTCGTCTGTTTTGGATTCCGAGGATGAACCCTTCACCTCCAGATGTGTCTCCTGCAGAATGTCACTTCTAGAAGAGACAGAGAGAAAGGAAAACACCACACATGAAGACAAATGTTGAGGGCGAAGACATGCACAGCTCACAGGGCAGGCATTACTGGGTTCTAAACTCCACTTCTGGAGTGTAGTGCTGGCCCAGAAACTAAGTATTGCGTGTACATCCATTTGACAGATCTGACTTATTTGTATGCAGACTGCTGGTTCCTTGCCTCTCAGGCAGATGCACTCTGACTTCAAAGGAAGCCCCAAGTTAGTTGACTCTTATGACATGTTTTCTGGTAGGCAGTGGGTCTATTCTTGTCTTCCCCACAATGGGGTCCCGCAAACCACAAGGTGATATATAGTTAGCTAAGTTCACACAGTGACTGGTCCAAATGTCTTGGGTTAGCCTCCACACTTAGGTAGATTTTACTAACTGACACAGAACTACAAAGTCAACCTAATTCAAAATAGGTACCAGGGCTGGGAAGTAAATGTGGCTGACAGGATGCTGACCACATAAGCCATCAAGTGCCAATTGGTCTATCAAAATATAGATTTGGTATTAATAAATTATTTGTAAAAAGCATCCTTAACTTTGCTTATTATAAACACAAGTGACCCTTCCTTGAAGTCTTCTATTCATGTTCATATATACTCCTCTTCCTTTTAGTGTTCTCATGCTTTAAACTCCGGTGGAAAGTTCTGGCTGTTCATCAACTTATGGATTTTAGTCTTGTTTCAGACTTGAGTTGTATGCATATCCGTTCTACAGATCAGGCTTATCAGTATGCGGATTGTTGGTTCCTCAAACTCAGACAGAAGCACTCATACTTCGAAGCAAACACTCCTTATTAGTTGCCTTTAATGACATGCTTGTGTGTGTGTGTGTGTGTGTGTGTGTGTGTGTGTGTGTGTGTGTGTGTGTGTGTGTGTGTGTGTGTGTGTGTGTGTGTGTGTGTGTGTGTGTGTGTGTGTGTGTGTGTGTGTGTGTGTGTGTGTGTGTGTGTGTGTGTGTGTGTGTGTGTGTGTGGTGTGTGTGTGTGTGTGTGTGTGTGTGTGTGTGTGTGTGTGGTGTGTGTGTGTGTGTGTGTGTGTGTGTGTGTGTGTGTGTGTGTGTGTGTGTGTGTGTGTGTGTGTGTGTGTGTGTGTGTGTGTGTGTGTGTGTGTGTGTGTGTGTGTGTGTGTGTGTGTGTGTGTGTGTGTGTGTGTGTGTGTGTGTGTGTGTGTGTGTGTGTGTGTGTGTGTGTGTGTGTGTGTGTGTGTGTGTGTGTGTGTGTGTGTGTGTGTGTGTGTGTGTGTGTGTGTGTGTGTGTGTGTGTGTGTGTGTGTGTGTGTGTGTGTGTGTGTGTGTGTGTGTGTGTGTGTGTGTGTGTGTGTGTGTGTGTGTGTGTGTGTGTGTGTGTGTGTGTGTGTGTGTGTGTGTGTGTGTGTGTGTGTGTGTGTGTGTGTGTGTGTGTGTGTGTGTGTGTGTGTGTGTGTGTGTGTGTGTGTGTGTGTGTGTGTGTGTGTGTGTGTGTGTGTGTGTGTGTGTGTGTGTGTGTGTGTGTGTGTGTGTGTGTGTGTGTGTGTGTGTGTGTGTGTGTGTGTGTGTGTGTGTGTGTGTGTGTGTGTGTGTGTGTGTGTGTGTGTGTGTGTGTGTGTGTGTGTGTGTGTGTGTGTGTGTGTGTGTGTGTGTGTGTGTGTGTGTGTGTGTGTGTGTGTGTGTGTGTGTGTGTGTGTGTGTGTGTGTGTGTGTGTGTGTGTGTGTGTGTGTGTGTGTGTGTGTGTGTGTGTGTGTGTGTGTGTGTGTGTGTGTGTGTGTGTGTGTGTGTGTGTGTGTGTGTGTGTGTGTGTGTGTGTGTGTGTGTGTGTGTGTGTGGGTGGGTGGGTGGGGGGGGGAGAGAGAAGAAATAGATCTATTCATATTTTTTTTCTCATTAAAACAGACCCTGGAAACCATACAGGGATTTTCATATGATGTAACATTCTTCATCAACACCTGTCAAGCTGTAGGTTTGAGTGATCACTGTATGCTATGCCATGCTACTGGCAGACAAATATGACCAGTGCTAATGTTCCTATTAGACTATTCAAGCATTCATATCTTGTACTCTTTTTCTTGTCCAGTAGTTGTCCCATTAAGTTTGATCATCAACATCATGTGTCGTGCCAATAAGCATAGGCTGTCATGTTTCACTATCTCATTTGATCACAGGACAGTGTTCTTATCTCACCCCATCCATATGACTAAGCCATCTGCTAGGTATATATTTATTTTCCCTCCACTGGCTCTTTCCCCACCAATTTTGCCAATTGTAACCACATTCACAAGTCCATTTGTTCTCATAAGGATTTGTTATTAGTTGGTATAAACTGTAAAATTTAGCCTGCGCTTTCAGTTTCCTATCGACATGCAAAGCTGTTTGTCCTTGTCCAGATGTCTGGTCTGATACCCTCAGGAAGAGGAAGCAAAATGCAATCTCTTCTTAACTTTTTAAACTTCCAGTCCCTAGCAAAAACCAAAGCAGATCTGCATGGACCAGTAGATGCCAACAGTTCCGAGCTACCTATTAGCCACTCCTCCAGGAAAAGAAACAAACAATACAACAAGCGCAATACGTACATAATATCTCTGTCCTTCTGTAACTCAGCAGCCATAACATGAAGCCTCCGCTTCCAGATTTTCACCTGAGTATCCCATGACCTTCGACTGCACTTCCTGAATTTATCTGGTGTTCTTGGGTGTACTTTCCAGACTCGCTCTTTCCTAGGAGACAAAAAGAAGTATAAAACAGAGTCAAACAACTTAAAAGATAGATGTATATTTTTTTTTTAAATTGAAACTACTGATTAGTGTAAAAGTATGTACATATTCTACACGTCTGTACTAAAATGTCTGTCTCAGGTGAGGTAAGAGGACTACCTTTGTTGCACCAGTTTTATTCCCATATGGCTTAGTTTCTTCTGTCTGTAAATGTTTATATATAAAAATATGCTTGATATATAAAATACAATTGCCGTGTGAAAGATTAGTGTGTGAAAAGGATAAATATGAGAAAGGCCTGCCTGCCCAATTCGGGACCCTTTGGAAATAAAGTTTGTTCATTCTGCAGTCACGGTGAGCACTAATTCCATAGTTGCAGAGCCTCAGAGATCTTTCCGTGAATCGAATGGGAATTTGAAAACAAACCCCATGACTTTCAGAGTGCAAGATAAAAAGCTTGACTACTTTGCCACAAAGACTCCCTACAATATGTCATAAATTGTAATTCTTCTTCTTATTGACTATGCCATGTCGCGTTAGTAGTCATGGCTATCACCAACCTTCTGTCTTGTGCGCTTTCAATCAATTCTGACACAGATGATCTTCCATCCCATTATATCTAACAGTCAATCATCATCTCTGTGTCCCTCTGCCTCTTTTCCCTTCCAACTTTCCCACTGCAATTATGTAATCCCGTTTTCTTCTTCCCATGATATGACTAAAGAATAAAGAGTGTCTCATTCTGATGTGGGCAAATAAATTCTCTTCATGACTTAAGTTTCTTTCAAAACATTGTTATTATCTTTTTATGTGTCCAAGGTATTCTCATAATTCTTCTATAAAACATATCTCCGCTACTTCCAAATAATTTTTTTTTAACCAATCATCCAACTGTCCATGATTTAATTCCATATACCAGGATAAGATTTTTTTGCTCCTAAGAATTCTTTGTCTCATCTCAGTTGACAAAGAAAGATTGCATAGAATATTCTTCATTTTTTCTGGCTTTAAAAGGTAATGTTTCTGGCTTTACTTTGTGTCAAAAGAATAATAAAACAGGGCTGGTACTGTGTTTGTGGTAGTGCCCTCTCTACCTTACTTGCAGCTGCTAATCTAGGACCGGTGCACATGTGCAAACACTGCATTGATAGAACTATGAACGTAAAATTCCATGTAAATATTTTGTAGCGTTATTAACAATATCAATTCCGCTAAGACCGGTCCCAAGCTCGGCTGTAAAAGGAGGAGGGTCTGGCTGACTTGAGTGCTTTATGCGTCTCCGGAAGTAGTGGGTAACCGTGAATCAGCCAGATGGTCTGCATGGAGACCGCAAGAAGGCAGCCCCTCCATAATGCAAAGGTACAACAGGCCAATCATCTGTTTGCCTAAAATTATGATTACAAGTTACCACAGAGAGAAAACCGGATGGATCTTAGCGGCGATGAACTGGCATGGCTTACGGACTGCGATTTACGAAACATGGAACATAAGAGGCATTAACCGGAAGGAAAACGAGTTAGATAGGAAGATGAGGAAAGCGAAATTAGGAATCTTGGCTCTGACTGAAACCAAGAAAAAGGGGCAAGGAATCACAGATCACGATGAAAGTATGCTGCTCTACAGTAGTGTCCCTATGACGGAGAGAGCCAAGGGAGATGTTGACTGTATTGTGGCCAGGAATCAGGTTAGTAACATCAAGGGATGGAAATTCATCTCGGAGAGAATTATGGTGTTAGATTTGAAAGAAAAGACAAAACTGACAATACTGTCATTGTGTACGGGCCAAATGAAGACGAGCGAGTAGATGTTAAAGAAGAATTCTTTGAACTGCTCCAAAGGACTGTAGATGACGTTCACAATGAAATTATGCTCCTAGGGGTCGAAATGCCAGAACAGAAAATGATCACTCTAAATAGGGTGGAGTGATCGGGAGTTATGGTGAAGATGTTTTGAATGATAATGTCAAACGACTTCTCAGATTCTGCAGGAAACAGAACCTTGTCATTGCAAACACACAATTCCCCCACAAACGTACTCATGCATACACATGATGTGAACCTTAAAAAAATGAGAAATCCATCATTGACTAAGACACAGTAAGGAAAAGTTCATTCAAGTTTGTGAGAGATGCTAGAGTAATGAGAGGACAAAAGATTGGAAGTGACCACTGTCTGGTCACAATAAAGAGAACAACTAAAAAAAACTGCAGCAACAAGGCAACACCGACAACCATGCAAGAAAACAAGCAACCGAAACATAAAGAGGATTAGGCATACAATATTAGGAGCCAGATTTAAAGCTAGATACCAGGAGCTTATAGTGAAAGCAATAGGAACTGAAGAAGAACCATCAGAGGACACTGAAACCCTCTGGTGCAGATTCAAGAATATCCTCACAGCAGCTGCAGTTAGAAGCATGTGGTGAAGTCCCAAGTGGAAGGCGGGGAGAAAAGACGCCTTGGTGGACGGGAGAAGTCAAACTGAAAATAGGAACAAAGAAAAGGGCAATACCTGGCAGCCAGGAACACAGCTGAAGAAATAGAGAAATATAAACAATATGTGGCATTCAGAACAGAGGTAAAAACATATGGTGCATAATGCAAAACAGAAATTGTGGGAAGAACTGTAACATTTCAATGTTGCTCGCTGTAGGAGAAAGTACCAGGGCATTCTTGTTAGGTGTCCAAACCACTTCAATCGTTGTTCTTTGATGACCTGTAAGACTGGAGAAAGAGTGCCCACTGAAATTCATTCAAGACAGGGAAGGGACTCTGCTTACTAACACACATTTTTCTTCTTCGTGTTCACCAGCTGTAAGCTCCAGTGGTTGTTCTGGTTGTTCATCCACTTCTGGACTCTAGTCCTGTTCCAGAACCTGAATCTTTTTCACAGGTTTGACTCATTTGCATGCAGACTGTTGGTTCCTTGCCTCTCCAGCAGATGTACTCCGCCTTCAAAGGAAGCTCCCAATTAGTCGACTCTTATGACATGCTTTTGGACAGGCAGTGGGTCTATTCTTGTTTTCCCCACAACTGGGCCCTGGAAACCACAAGGAAAACTACTACAAATGATAGATGGAAAAAATACTTCTCAGTGCTCCTTGGTGGAGAAAAGTAATGACCCAAAAATAACGGACCTAACTACTAAGAAGGAAAACATCCATGGGGGATAATAACATCAGGATGGAAGAATTGAAGGCAGGTATTGAGAAGATTAAGCTCAGATTAAGTACTCAGTGGGGTACTGGAAGATGAGACCAATCTGTATATCAGAGCTGGCATTTGCAGACGATGTGGCCCTGGAAGTTAAATCAGAGCCACTTCTTCAGTCCAACTTACTTGTCTGGAAAAAAGAGCTTGAGTAGAGAGGGATGACCATCAGTATCTCCAAAACTAAAACCATGGAGACATCAAGAGATGAGAAGAAACACCAGATCATGATGGGACAGTATGCACTGGACCAGGTCAACCAGTTCAAATACCTTGGAGTTGTATTAGACCGAAACAGAGGCATTAAGACTGAGCTGGCTACACGAACAGCAGCTGCTGGGAGACTCTTCCAGGCCATAAACCAAGGGTTTCTTAGCAAAAGAGAAATTGACAAGAGGACGAAAATGGCTGTTTACCGCTCCACCTATGTACAAGTCCTGACCTATGACAACAGCTCACAAAAGCCAGCTTAAGGCCTCAGAAATTAGATATCTGAGAAAATAGTATAAGTGAAGAGAAGGGACAAAGTTAATCAGACAATACGTCACGATCTTGATACCCAATCCTTATCAACCCAAATTGATCCATCACAGTTACGATGGTTTGGACATGTATGCAGAATGAGAGAAAATTCCCACCATGGCAGGCATGGGAGGCTAAGAACTAGGAAACTAGACCTCCAGGCGACCCAGGGTCGGCTGGGAAGACAATATCTGACAGTCCCTAACTGATAGAGGACTGGAATGGAACAAAGCCAGAAAAGAAAAACTGCACATAAGAGACACCTGGCAAACCTCTACACTCAAAGGTAGAAGAGGAGCGACTAAGGAAAGTAAAGTAAAGTATCAATAATATCAAGTGAAAATAGGAGTGTTGCAGTTCCACAGCACCTCTGTACAAACTACCACTTCCTACTAATAGCTATACTACTATCAGCATATTGAACACCAGTCTCTTATCCCATCAGTGAGGCGGTATTGTTTTTATTTCTATAAACATAACTAATACCAATAAGCCTGAAAAGAACTCAAGAAGTTAATAAAGTATGTGACTGACCGGCACCTTTCAGTCTTTCCAGACGTTAGTGTTATACAGCGCTATGAGAAGGCATGGGACTCACAGCCTACGGCGATGGCGAGTGTGACTAGCAAGACCCATCTGCATTAAGAAAAGTCTTCCACAGTTATAGCATGGGGGTTTCGAGACTGCTGTTGTCAACATTTGTGTTTAGTCAGTTTCTTTCAGAAAATAGGAGCAGAAAATCACTGATACTTACACAGGAACTTCGTCAATATACAGCCGATAAGCATCTGTGTTTTTCCCATAGAAAATGTCCTTCTCACGTCTTGCCAGTTTTAGCTCATCACTGTGAATGAAACCAAGAAGAAACTTAAGCAATATTCTCTCAGTTTGCAGTGCAAATCATCTTCTAGATTAGTGGTTTTCCACCTTTTTCAGTTTAGTTTCCCCCCCCCCCCCCCCTCCCAATAAAAGGCACATCATTCCCCCCCCCCCCCCCCCCTTTCTGCCTTTTCTAACTTTAAATAAGAGGAAGTGTATAAACAAATTGCTCATTAAAAAAAGTGTTCAAAATATAATGCCAGTGAACAGTAAGGATTTTAGCAGATAGTGAATTTGTTTTTGTTTCTCCCTCTCTGTTTGGCTCTTTGATGGGTCCAAAGAGTTGTCGTAAGATAAGACTTGTTTCAAAAAATGTGTAATAAGGCTTCATCTCTTACATTTGTGCTTCAAGTCTCAGCACCGTATAAAACAACTGGTCTTATCACCATTTTATATATTCTGATCCTGGTGGTAGGAGACAGAGATTATGACTGTAGACTAGAGCTATCAACTAAGTTTACTCAGGTGCTAAAGTTTTGAAAATGGGGATTGTCATGGCCCCGGTGCTCTGGTGTAGAAACATCATTACTACAATTCAACGGGCAATAATATGTGGGCCACTTGCTAGTCTCTGTGGGCCAGATATGGCCTGCAGGCCGCCAATTGAATAGCTGTGTTGTAGGGCATAGTATACTTTATTTCCACATTGTAATCTGGATATTTCTTCTCTTATATTGAAACAGTTGAAGTTTATGCTAAAGTTATTATATGCTTCCATTTTTCAATCACTCTCTGGTGGGTTTTTTCTTTCAACTTTGTAATTTAAAAAAAAAAATGCCATCAAAGAATCGACTATAATTGAGAACATCAATACACTTACTCTTCTTTAGCCTCTGGCACTCTTTCAGCAGGTCTGTCCTCAGGTCCATTATTTTCAGAAGGCAGAAGTAACTTTCTTCGAGACCTGGTGGGGTATCAATATTGTTGACAGTCCAGTCATTCAAGTATAAATGTTTTGAGAAAATAAACAAACATAAACAAAGCATGCATAGATTTTTCACTTCCTATTTTCCCTGTATGGGTTCTGGGGCCCCTTCATGGGGGGAAACAAGAATAGACCCACTGCTGCCCCACAAGCATGTCGTGAGAGTCATCTTTTTTTTTTATCGATCACCGGCTGTGAATTCCAGTGGAAGGTCCCGGTTAATCGTCCGCTTGGACTTTTGGCTTTCACCTGGACCTGATTTTTGCGTGTACAACCGTTTTTCATTTCCCTGCCTCATGGGCGGCTGTACTCCGACTTCGAAGGAAGACGTCAGGCCTATTTCTAGGTTGACTGTGGCCATTGTTTTGTGTGGGTCGAGACGTTGCCTGATTTGTGTGGTGTCCACTTTGTCTCCTTCTCCGCAGGTATTGCCCTCGGAGTACCCCTTTGGGGCAGCCCCCTGTGGAACAGTTAGCCCTCAAGGGAAGGCAGGGGCAGATCATGGGCATTCCCCGCCATCCAAGGAGGCTTCCATGCATGCAGAGCCGGCACATGGCGCTCTGGTTCTGGGCTCACCCAAGGAATCGTCACGTCCTGCACATGCCTGCTTAACCTCACAACCGTATCAGGCCTCCCGCTCGACAGGGGCTGCGCCCTCTGGAAGTCAGCGGGGAGCAGCCCGCGGGTTTTGGACTTTTGTGACCACACAGATAGGTACATTCTTTTTTTCTTCGCACGTTAGATTTCTTTGACGAGCCGTTAGCCCGACAGAATTTTACATCCTGCATCAGGCATATCGTTATCAGTTTTGTCCCAACACTCGGGCGAGTGGGGTCTTTGGGTGTGGACATTCGGTCTTTTTCAGTTCAATGCAAATTTTAATTGTCAGATTTTGATCCGTATGATCTAGTTTTGTCGGACAATTAGGCTTAGCCGTCCGATGGATGGTTGCTGTTGTGGTGTACCTCAGCGCGGTGTCGACGACATTGAGGGTTAACCGAGGATGAACATGAATGGCCAGCCTATGGATGGTTGCTGTTGTGGTGTACCTCAGCGCGGTGGCAACGACACTGGGGGTTAACCGAGGATGTACAAGGATGGCCAGCCTATGGATGGTTGCTGTTGTGGTGCACCTCAGCGCGGTGACGACGACACTGAGGGTTAACAGAGGATGTGCAGTGAACAATGTTCTCTTTACTCCGCAGTCTTTTAACCAAGGGTTGTAATTTTGGCTGTACGTTTGGCAAACCTACTCATGTTCCTAATGAGTTTTGATAACATTTTTCACCCAAGCGTTTGGGGGCAGGCTGATGAGAGCCACAAGGACACATCACCTCTGGGGGCCGCCGAACTCCGAGATCCCCTGACAGCTCTGTTAATGCTCATTTGAGACATTATCCGTGGCGCACGACGAGGACGTGCTGTAGGGGTCTTGCGTGAGGTTCCGTACAACCAGGATAGTTAAGGACTGGCGCCCGAGTGACGTACGGAGTATCTCCTTATACACATCATGTTGGACTTAACTTTCCCTCACGCCTGTGACAAATGTCACCGCGCCACGAGAGTCGTCTAAATGGGAGCTTCTTTCCAAGTGCCCCTGCCTGAGAGGCAAGAAACAAGCAGTCTGCATACAAAAAAGTCAGATCTGTAAAATGGATGTGCATGCAACACTCAGGTTTTGCAACAAGACTAAAGTCCAGAGGTGGACGAACAACCAGAACTTTCTGCTGGAGTTTACAACCGGTGAACATGAAGAAGAAGAAGACTTCCTATTTAACCGCATTGGGTATCAAAGAAGATATAAGATTCTGCTTCTTACTCTTCTGGTAGCCTCGACCAGACACATTATGCTGTTGTGGGAGTTTCTGTGAGGTTATCTTTCCATGTTATTCTTAGTTTACCATATGCTCTCCGCTCTTCTATTTTTGTGTATGCTTTGTATGGTCACAAGGCATTCTCTTTTAAGAGCTCAAACCACCTGATTTGCTGTCTTTGTATATATTTTAGAACTGGTTCTGTGCAGACTTTTTCTTTTATCACATTATAGATCTTTCTACTGTTGACAATTTATATCACTTTAAATTAAAATAGCTGATTTCTCATAGCACTACCAGCAGTGATTAACTCCTTATGTGGGTAATTTAGGTGCATCCGCCTGAGAGACATGGAACCAACAGTCTGATACAAATAAGTCAGATCTGTAATACGGATGTGCACGTAACACTCAGGTTCTGGAACAAGTCTAAACTACAGAGATGGATTAACAACCAGAATTTTCTGTTGGAATTTACAGCTGGTGAACACGAAGAAGAAGATGGTTAGCGTGGTTGTAATTAAGACAGGTCAGAATGTTAATGTTTACTGTTGTCAGAAAAAAAAACATCTATCCTCTTATCGAGGATATGAACCTAGGCCTTCTATATGAGAAGCCCGGTATTCTAACGGTTGAACACTACTCGGGTAGCCAAAGAAGAATAATAAACCAACACAGAACTGGTGTCATTAGCCGCTACATGCTGTGGAATTTATTGATGAGGGGATCCGAGCACTTATGGACTTAGTGGTTCGACGTGCAATGAGGATAATCTGTCGACTAACTAACTCTAACAGTTGTTTGCTTTTTTCTTAGTGTTTATCATATGGGAAGTTTTGGTTCTTCATCCACTTCTGGACTGTGGTCTTGCTCCAGAACTTGAGTTTTGCATGCAGATCTGCTTTACAGATCTGGCTTTTTTTGTATGCAGACTGTTGGTTCCTGAACCCTGAAGCAGAGGCACTCTGACTCTAAAAGAAAGTTTTCTAATAATGCAGCCTCCTCTCCATATTACTAACTACTGTCCTAAATATCGACACATTACCATGAATGCCTTGAAATCTGTTCTGGAGTCACACTATGTCCTGGAGTTTCTCTGGGGAAAACAGAAATTTAAAGTTACACTGTAAAAATTTTAACAGATTTTATGATACAATAAATTAAATTATTTTATTTTTTAAATTCAAATAGTAAATTATAAATCTTAATATAACAAAATAATAAATCACCAGCAAATTTACATTTGTTAAGTTCAAAAGACCGAGATCTGTGGCGACGCATGAACGCCTACGCCAGCTGGCAAAGCACTTGATAATGATGATGAAAGTTCAAATTACCTATACTGCCACTTTAGCTAGGAATTTTATTTTTGAAACATGATAAAAACAGGAATAGGTTATACACTTTTCTACATCATGCATCCTTACTTCAGTCACTACACAACAAGAAATACTCTAAAGACATACTAGGAAATATTCTGAAGAAGGGATCTGAGAACTTTTAACCAAATGGTTCAATATGCAATCAGGATAATGTGTCGACTAATATAAGTCTTTATCAAACTCTGAAGCTGATCATTTCAGCCTTTGCCGAGGATTAAAAGTGTGTCATTTGCAGAATGTCCTGGTCAGAAGACTGTGTCAGGACTTTTACAGTTCTGGCTATGTCTGTCGCATTGTTGGTTGCTTGCCTCTCAGACAAATGTGCTCCAGCTTGAAAGGAAACATCAGTCTTTTCTGCATTGGCCAGGCCCATGGTAGGTAACCCATTCCTAGGATGACCATGCACAGGTGGAGATAGGTCCTACCCGGCATCAGCCCTGGTGTACTGGCAAGTTATTGACATTTACATCATTCAGCCTTAAAAAAAGGCTGTTATCTAACACACAGTGGTCGGTGTAGAGACTACTCTCCTTGCCCAATACCATCTCTACCAAGCTACAGAGTTCTGCTTGCCCTCCCCAAGCTTAGAGCCTTCAAAGGAAGCTCCCAATCAGACAATACTGGAAAAGGAGGGTGTGGGGAGAAACAGGGGGGAGGGGTTGATGCAGGAAATTCACATTTGAAGAGAGGCATATTAGGATCTCACCAGGTAATCTTCTTCTTTCACCAGTTTTTAACTCCAGGGGAGAGCTCTGATTTTTTTTTTCCCACTTCATGACTATAGTCTTGTACCAGAACTTGAGTTGTGCACATCCATTTTTCAGAAATTTTTTTTTTTTAATGCAGGCTGTTGGTTCCTTGCCTTAGGCAGATGAACTCCGACTCTGAAGTAAACACCTTATCAGTCGACTCTTATGACATGTTGTTGGGGAGGCAGTGGGTCTATTCTTGTTTTCTCCACAATCAGGCCCTGGAACAGGGAATAAAAAAGGTCCCTTGTCCATGCCTGTAGGCATATAAGGCATATAGGGCTAGACCTATATTTTTACAGACCAATAGGAACAAGATGGGTGATGTGGTCAACATCAAGCTGGCCGCCTTTACTTCCCGGGTCTGTACCCGGGAATCAAGGTAATTTTTTTTTAAGTCGAGCTTCACCAAGGAGCGAACCTATGACGTTCTGATCTGCAAGTGAGCGTCCAGCCGATGCGCCACGGCGACTCCCATACAGGGAGTACAATTCAGGTTTTTGCTGAAACTGGATGCATTGAACTCAAAGCTGCAGATATCACAGCCTAGATGTCAACTTTAAACATGGTACCAGCTGCCCTTTGAACTCTTTCACTAGCCGAAGGTTTGACAGGTGATGTCAAACTGAAGAAATAACCATGATGAAAAAAACATAAATGCATTACATTCCAAGTGGCAATACGCATAATGGTAATTACGGTGGAGAAGCCAGATTTCTTCGGTTTGTTCTGACAAAAAGTTATATGAAAGTGATTACATTAGGCAATGGAGGGAAATTCGAGGAATAGTGTCCCTGACACACTGTGTATGGCTTGAAACTAACTGAGTTATATGCAGAAGCAGAAAAAGAAGGATAGAGCACTTACCTGTTGCAGTCCGACAAGGAAGTCTTGCATCCAGATTCTTCTCTACTGGGTGTTGTGTCTATACCCTGGGATTTCACCAAATATTTATGTTTTTCGCTTCGGGGTGGTGAGCGCATACATTTATGACCACCTCTGTTCTCACCGTCATCTAATGCTGATGCTACTTGTGAAGTCGCCACACGATTTTTAGTGAATCTAAACACAAAGAATATTTTAATAACAAGGGTGTTATGTTTGAAGACCATACCGTCGGCCAAAATGAATTCTGTCCCTATCATTATTGTCTAGGAGTCGCCGTGGCATTGGCGGCTAGACGCCTGCCTGCGGGTCGGAAGGTAGTAAGTTCGTGTCCTAACGGAGTCAGACTTTTTTCAAAAATGACCTTGACTTCCAGGTCGCCTCTGCCTTGAGTGGGTACCAGGTGCAGTCCTGGGAAGTAAAGGTCGCCGGCGTGATGCTGACCACATCACCCACCAAGTGCTGATTGATCTTTACAAATACAGGTCTAGCCCTATATACCCAACACTTTACTATCATTATTTTCTGTATTTACCACTTTTATGGTGTAGACGGGATCTTCGGGCCTTGGGAGTTAAGGCAGCATAGCTAGTGTAGTTGCCACAAACTGTGCAGGTTAGGATTTTATTTTGTCCATAGCCAGAAAAGACCTACAACCTTAGAGGATTTGAACCTGAATCCCCAGCATGACAGCCCAGCACTCTTAGCCATAACACACTAAAAAAAAAACATCAACACACCAAATAAAAACGTTAAGATCTAAGAAGAAAATGGACTACCCACTACTGACAAGTGTCAAACAGCTGATATGGATCAACAATTTCCAAGGTCCCTGTGTTGGTTTCAGGGCCCCATTCAGACCCGCTGCCACTCTAATAAGCATGTCCTAAAAGGTGACTTAGATGTGTTTCCTTCAAGTCTCAGTACATCTGCTTGAGAGGTGGGAAACCAACAGTTTGCATACAAATAAGCCAAATCTATGAAGTGGATGAGCATTCCAAACTCAGGACTTTCTGCCAGAGTTTGCAGCTGATGAACAGAGATATTCAGAGTTAATGTGCTGCTATGCAAGCATACTGTTACTGAAAAGGTTACTTATGCATCTAATTTCATATTTAGTCTGTTCTCCCCTTGAACATACCTGAAATTACGACTGTTGTCTATATCAAAGATTGTCTTTTGCTTGCTTCTGTTAATCGGACTTCTCAGAGGGCTGAGTCCACCTTGTCGCTCTGTGTACTTGGATCTGTCCGATGGAGAATGTCGCCCTTGCTGTGGCTCAGAAGTGTCACTGACAGGTTCTCCTCTGTGAACAAGACAGTTTTATTTCTGTGAGACAAACATTTTACTCCAGTTTAAAAATGGAACGAAATGCTACAGGAAAATAATTTGAATTCTGTGGACCAAGAAAAAGAAAAATATTAATATCTGACGTTATCTGAATATCATGGAGAACTGGCTCATAAACAGCATCCTGTCTCGAAAGCTGAGGTATTTTGGCCATGTTAAATGTCACGTTGGCCTGGAGATAAGGGTGATGAAGGGTGCAATCTCTGGAAAATGAGAGAGGCCGACCAGAACAAAGGTGAATACAGGACAATGAAGATGCAAAGGCTATAAGAGCACATAGGGCTGAAGAATTGACCACTCCCTGACGTGCATTCGACTCTAGCCCCATATTTGTACAAACCAATCAGCACTCAGGAGTCATGTTGTCAACACCCCAGAGGTCAACAGTACCACCTTATATCCCTGTGTGAGTGCTGAGGCCCCATTTTGGGTTTTTTAAAAAGGACACCCCCAATCCATTGAGCACTCAGAAAGCATGTCGGAAGAAAAGGCAACCAATCAAGGGTGTTTCCTTCTAAGCTGGAGTGCATCTGTCTGAGAAGCAAGGAACCAACAGTCTGCTTACAAATAAGCCAGATCTGTAAAATGGATATGCACACAAAATTCAAGTTCTGGAGAAAGACCAAAGTTCAGAAGTGGATTCAAAACTAGAAATGTCCACACAGTTTACAACCAGTGAATGCAAAGAAGAAGACTATCTTACACATTTACTGGTTCATTTCAGGATGAGTCAACCTGAGAGGCCAAGTCAAACTTATGTTTGCATTTGCCAGCTGTAAACTCCAATTGAAAACCATGTCTGTTCATCAACTTTCGGACTTTCATCTTGTTCCAGAATTTGAGCTCTGTGTACACATCTGTTCTACCTATCCGGTTAATTTGCGTGCAGACTTTGGGTTCCTCGCCTCTAGGGCAGATGCACTCAGACTTCTAAGGAAATTATACTAGAAAAAAAAATGCCCAGAAACAAAAATTTGACATGAGTGCAGGCATTCTTTCTAGAATTAAGAAATTAACTTGAACAATTACAACTGGTTTTTCAGAAACATACATTAACAAACCTGTTTCTATTTAACTTCATCCTGAGATCATTCGGAGGCCTTACTCGTGTATATTTACCACCAACTGAGCTGGCCCGATTCTTACTCTTTGATGTGGTTGCTTGCAGTTCATCCTCATTCTCCAAACCTCTGCAAGAAATGAAACAAAAATAAGAGTAACCGTTTTCTCATGAATTAAAAATGGGTGAAAAAATGTTTTCAAATATTTTATAATTATTACATAACTATAACTGAAATACACATCAGATCATCAATATCTGGCGAGAATTATGCAACAAGGAGTGACCAGAGGATCAGCAGACATCAAATCTTTAGAGAAGGCAAAGTGGACACATAATTAAACAACTGGCAATATAGGTATTACAATTCCGTGCTTGCTGCTTAAGATGGGAAAGGAGCGCTTAAGGAAATAACAAAAGTGCTGTGATGTTTCTGAACCCACTACTGTAACTATATTCTCTAGACATAGTAACATAGGAAAATGTCAATGATACAGCCACATTTCTTAACAGTTGGTATTTTTGTAACCATCATCTGGACCTCTACAATTCTGAGTTCACATAATACAGGGTCATCAAGAAAGATTGCCGGTATGTTTATCTGTCATGATAGAAGAAGTATTTAACGCTCCTTTACGGCAGTAAAACCTGGACTCTGCATGCTCCTCAAGAAAAAAGACTGAATACCTTCCACATGCGGTGTATGAGACACTTTCATGGTATATCATGGCGTGACTTTGTCCTAATTGAATGTGTATTCAAACGAGCAAAAATGCCAATAATGTACTTTCTGCTGAAGCAAAGACGCCTGCGTTGGTTGGGACATGTCTCTCGTATGGAGGACAGTGCATTCTAAACGAACTTCTATATGGTAAACCTGTAAAAGAGATATGAACTGAAGGAAAGCCAAAGCTACACTTTAAGGACACATACAATTGCGACCTAAAAGATAACACTGACACAGACACTTGGGAGAAATCAGCTGCAGACTGACTTCTTTGAAAACAGACAGTGAATGATGGACTGCCGCAGCTTGAAAAAAGACATTTTCAGAAAGCTGCATAGAGTAGACGTGTGAGAATGACAGAGTATCAAAGTTTTTATGTGGAACGGACTGCCATTCCCGCATTGGACTTTACAGTCTTAGCACGCAACACTCACGTACTGGAACAAGACTAAAGTCACCAAAGCAGGTGAACGCAATGAAGAAAAAGTTGCATTGTTCATTTTGTCATTAATAAGAGGTGCCCAAACGCCTGAGTTGATAAGTGGACCAATACCCTGACCGCCTCGAAGCCCAGACCTAACACCACTAGACATTTGTTCTGTGGGGATATGTTAAAAACATTGTGTACGCTTGAAAGAAAAGGAACATACAGCACATTAAAGAGAGGGTTATTGTAGCAACTGTAACTATGAATATGATTCAGAAGACATGGTCGGAGAATGAACACCATCTAGACATCACCCAAGCTACCCATGGTGCCCATTTGGAAGTGAACATTTTAAGACATCACCATGTGTATCCATTAAATATTTATTTTCTAATCAATAACAGTTTAAAATCCCAGCAATCATTCCCCATAACCATGTATGATATGCAAATATAAGACTACAAAAGCACTGCTGCAATAAACTAGGAGGCTCATACAAATGTATACACAGGAGGGAATTGATAATATATGTCATTTTTCATATTGACCTAGTGCATCTAGTTTATATTTACATATCCCCCGTGTGGGTTCCAGGGCCCCGTTTTGAGAAAAACAAGAACAGACCCACTACCTGCCCAACAAGCATGTTGTGAGAGTCGACTAACTGGTGACTTCCTTTAAAGTCGGAGTGCATCTGCCTGAGAGGCAAGGAACCAGCAATCTGCATACAAATAAGTCAGATCTGTAAAACAGATACACACGCGAAACTCAGGCCCTGGAACAAAGCCAAAGTCTAGAAATGGGCGAACAACCAGGACTTTCCACAAAAGTTTATAGCCGGGGAACGCAAACAACATCAATATTTACCTATTTTTGTTTAGCTTCTTTCTGAGATCATTATCTGGTATCTGTTTGCAGATGACTGGCTTTATTTCAGTCTTATCTGGTTTCTTTTCTGCAGTTTCTACAGCACCACATTCACTTGGCAAGTCACTGAGAACATTAAAATATTTTTTGAAATACAAGGAAAAATAAAACAATATTTGAAACTGTTAACTCATTTAGCAAACAGCTCACTGTAAGTTGCTCTTCTCCAAACAAGTTTGCTGGTTGTCACAAATCTTTTTTTTTTTAAAGTTTATTTTCACTAATAATATAACTAAATAATCTTGCCTGCATACATCTAATTTCTTTAATTTAAGGTCTTCACCTGCTTCATGAGAGGCATTATCCTGCCTGCTGGTCCATACTTAAGCTTACTTTGTGATCGTCGAGAGTCCCACAATACCCTTATTGTTGAACGGGGTTCACCAAGATTTGTACATGTGAGATTCTCTTCCCTAAGGTGTTAATCCTGCAGATTGTATTCCTGGAGGAGACAAACTGCAGCATTGAAGTATTATCATTTGTTTTCATGTCTGTCCACGGTATCATCCATGGTATTACTTGCATTTTCTTTAATAGCCATATTTCTGCTTTCAGTGCATGTTTCTTGGTTTGTCTACTTGCTGTCCCCATTTTAACTATAAACAATAGCAGAATCTGCAGAGTTCTTAATCACTGATGTATCTCCCTCTGCAGGAGGATAAAAGAATACTGAATGAAAAGCAGCCTTTACTTGTTAACTGACTGTCACAAACTCCGACACTTACTGAAGACTGACTACATTCTTCTTTGATTTATGAGATCACAGCCAGCTCAAGATATATCTGGGGCTGGCCGTGATATTGTGGTGATTTTCATGTTTATTATAAGATGTTACTTATTTCTTTAATTTCAGTTTGAAACTTAGTACCAGCTCGTGCAGGTCTGCACGTCTACTCTCTTAAAACTTAAATTCTATGTCAATAATTTAATTTATATTATATAATCATGCAGAGATTAAATGTAAATAAATATTATTCCCTGTTAATGCAGAAATTTGAGATATGGTAATTAATCAATAATTGTTCTGCGTTGTCGATATGATTTGTTTACTGGCTTAGGAAACTACACAACCATGGGACATCTTAATCAGGCGCTTTCTATTCTATTGCTAACAATAAGTAACAACAGGATTGTGGTTATGAAAGTGAAAGTGAAACAGTACACGAAATAAAATCGTCGTCAGCAGACGAGACAACCAACGGTTAAATCACTGCCATCTTTTGACTAAAACTAAATGTATTAATCAGTTACCTGTCTATTTCCATGGATTCCGTTAATTCAGCCCAGCTTGAAGAATTTGTAACCATAGTTTCAGCCATGCTAAAAGCACAAATAGCACAAGAGTTTCAATAACGGTAACGCCAAGACTGTAGTGTTCTGCTACTCCGTGAACAATCACCGCTCAACAATACACCATATTTTCCCCGCCTTTACCAGCTGCCAGATTTTCATACATTTGTCGGGTTCGTTCAGCTGTGTGACAATATTTATGAAGATAGTGGAGCGGCTTCTAGATATAGATGTTAGCCGCGAATATGTTGAATAAGCGGCCGTAGTCAGATCTGTAAAACAGATGCACAAGCAAAACTCAGGCCCTGGAACAAAGCCAAAGTCTAGAAATGGGCGAACAACCAGGTCTTTCCACAAAAGTTTATAGCCGGTGAACGCAAACAACATCAATATTTACCTATTTTTGTTTAGCTTCTTTCTGTTGGTGGTCATTTAGAGGATGCGAACTAGCTGGTGGGACAGCTAGATCTTTAAACTACCTCAAAACTCCGTAACATGATCGTCGGCTGGTAACAGGCGCAATTATAACTTCTTTATCTTAATGCCTTGCAGGTTATATCTGTTTAGACAAAGCCTATTAGAGTTAAACTGTAAACAACCCGGCGGAAGCCAATGGAAAAACCACCGCTGTATTTTCTCTAGTAAATCATGCCCTTAAACCAGTCATGTTCGGACAACGACGTTATTCCAATGGAATCACCTCGTTCTGTAGGGAGCAACATGTTCTACGGGTGATACCCGACAATCATTGAGACCAAAGAGTAAATAAATGTCAGTAACATCCTAAACATGGAATGTCAGAACACTTGTACGAACTGGAAAGTTGGATAACATCAAGAGGAAAATGGACAGAATGGCTTTTGATTATTGTATGTAATAATTTTGAAGTAACAATAATAAAAAGCGATTTCAGTGCAAACGTTGGAAATAAAAAAGTGTGTGGAGCAATTGGCGGCTATGGCCTATGTGAAAAGAATTAAAGAGGTGAAAGATTAATATCTTGGGCTGAGTCTAAAAACATGATAACTAGTTTGGTTTAAACACCACTTTCGTCAATTCTGGACTTGAAAAAGTCCTGGTGATAATGTCCGCAATCAGACTGATTATATGTTGATTTTAAAAAAGATTCAGGAGTAGTTTAATTGAAGCAAAGACTATACGAGAAGTAGATTGCTAAGTGATCACGTTCCAGTTATAGGAAAGTTTCGAATAAAACTGAAGACTACAAAAAATAACTGTCAAGTTGCTCGTCTACTTTTGGACTTTAATCCTGTATCAGAATGGAAGTTTTGCTTGCACATCCATTTACATATCTAGCTTATTTGTAAGCAGACCACTCATATAAATTAGGTATGAGCCAAACAGCTCTCTGCCAGTGTCTTCGTGCTGAACAGACTCCAGAACATGTCCTGCAAGACTGTCCTCTCCTGGCGGAGCTGCGGAGCGACATATAGCAACACCCAGTAGAACTGACAACTAAGCTTTGGGGAAACCTAAGAGACCTTGAAAAGACATCCCAGTTTATGACCCACAGTGGATTATGCGCATGACCAGAGATCGCTGAAGAAGTAAGCAGACTGCTGGCTCCTCACCTCTCATGCAGCAACTTCAAAGGAAATACACGTAATTATTCGACTTTTATGATATACCTGTTAGACACGCAGTGGCTCTATCTCTCCCCCTCCCCCCAAATGTTGAGCCTCAGCGAGAACCCACACGGAGAACCATGACACACGTATCGGCAACACCACGTGATATATATGCTGGTTTAACTAAACGTAAACAACCCATTACCTAAAAGCCAAAAGATGGAAAGCGAAAAGACTTGCACAGATTCAACCAAACAATTTAAGAAGAGTGCTTATAAATGAATAAATTAACAGACACAAGGTAAGCATCGAAAATCTCGTGCTTTACTTTAAAGGCAGGCAAATAGCAATAAGTGTTCAATTTAAAGTTCAGCTTCAATTATTATAATGATGTTATATATGTTGAAAGACAAAAGAAGGCCTGTGGTGCATAGCAAAAATGGATGACGACTCAGTACAGCATGCACCACAATATGTAGTTTGAGAATGGCGAGGGCACCCACTGTAGCTTTCTCGTGGCTTGAGAACCAGGTGAAACAGATTTGTGACTGGACAAACTCACAGAATATGCTGAGAAAAATGGAGACCGGCGTGTTTCGTATAGAGTAGCAAGATCAGAGGTTGTTAGCGTTCTTTAGACATTTTCTGCAGGATGTGCAGTATGTTGGGAATTGAAAAGGCAGATCTATTGGCTGATTGTATACTACTTAATGGTCAATTGTTGCATGACAAGCTAGACATGATCAAGACCGTTTGGGAGAAAGTGAACAGTGCGCAGGAACAAATAGATCATTGCGGTCTGCACAGAACAGTGCCATGGGGAGGGGCCAGGGATCTGGTCAACATTCTACACTCAGAGGAAAGGCAAGACATAATCATTGAACCAGTTATTGGTACTGTATGACATGGAGCTCTATGCTGACTGCTGAAGATTATGGAAATGTCCAGAGTGATATAATGTCGGCTGAGAGCTCAACCCATAGTGCTAGTGCAAAGGTTCTCAACCTTCTTAACGCCGTGACCTTTAATACAGCTCCTCATGTTGTGGCGACCCCGAACTACCCCAGCCCCACATGATTTCAGATAGATAATTACATGTATATTTGTTTCTCATTCAGCGCATCATCACCGTCGTCAACAGCATTTTTATTATTACACACTTAAGACTTTGGCTCTTAGAGCGACTTTCTCCCCAGAAAATGTGTAAGGGGGCTGGGCGCCCTGTTTTCTTATGTCGGTATTGTAGAGAAACTCTACAATAGCATGATACGTCTATGGTCGAGGCGGCCAGAGGAGCTTTCGACCTATTGATCGATTTATCCCCTTGGGGCTGCTACCTAATATTATTGCTGCACCTTACTGAGATTAAAGAATCTGAATCTGGATGACAGACCCTAGCTACCCCATTCCATCTCCAAAACAATTATAATTAGGATACTTATAACGGCTGGGCCAGCCATGTATAACCTGTTGTCTGTTGGGGGGGGGGGGGAGGGGATAAGGACGAGATAGCCAGAAGAGTAAGAATCAGACGGTATATCTCCTTCGACACCAGAAGCGGTACACGACAAAGTAAAACTGTCTATCTTTCGACTTTATTATATGAGTGCCTATTAGTACTTTGTCCTTCTGTTTATTTTATAATAGGACGCGAAGAAAAAGAATAATCGAATAACTCTAAAAGCGCTTGCTGGATTTTATAAGAAGAATAGTATTTGCAACACGAAATTTCCCATTATGAGTAATTCTGGATTTTTATGAAATGAGAGACGCATTTCATTTTCACACGCCAACCTGGCCAAAATGGATCCAAGCCTGCATGCACTCTGAACTTCAGCAAAGGGAAACAACAAGAGGTCCTTAAACTATCTTTTAATATTTGCT